TCATCCCATCTCATCCCGACCACGGATCAATTCCGACACCATCTCAAATCTATCTGTTCGAAAATGCGATTCTTCTCCCGGCTGCGATCCTGGCAATCATCTCGTGCCAAGCCGAGCCCGTCAGAAAAGCTATCCATCCCTGTAGGGCTCTCTTCTACCGCGATGATTGCCTTTTACTCTCCTCCGCCTAAGCATGTACTGAGAGATCTAAAACAACACGTATCCGTCTGGTTGAAGTTTGATCGATCTGTGCCAAAACGGTGGTGCGGACCCCTCCCCGATGTCAGCATCAGCGGATCGGAAAAGGCAGTTACACTGCCCTGATCGACCACACAGACGCGCTCGCGGTGTACAAAGTGAGCATGGAGTTGATACGTCACGTCGAGGGACTGAGTGAGGAGACTCGCGAGTGGCTGGAGGCCAACATGACGCGTATCAAAAGCGCCATTACTGCACCGAATCCCACGAGGGAGCAGAGAATCTCTGTAACTTATCATACATGATAATGACAGTAAATGCAGAACCTACGAGAGCTTGGCATGCATGGGGGCGACGCTCTACTTCATCCGGAGGCATCTGAGGGCGGTTGAGAGGGATGAGCCGGAGGAAGTCGCATGATGTGTCGTAGCTTTTGGGGTGGATCAGGCTACCGTGTCGCTCGTGTCGACGCTGCTGGTGCGTGACGGTATCGATGGGTTGCGGGCGTGACGGTGTCGATTGGTGGAGCGGAGGATGGGTGGTTACGCGTAGTTGCTGCTTACTAGTTGTAATCAATCTCAGGATTCTTTTCTCTCAGAAACTCCACTCAGAAAGGCCGGAGCCAAATGCCCATCTATAAACACGACAAAGTCAGTAAACCGCTCAATCTATATATTAACCCCGACGAAGTGAGTCCCAGGTGAGAGAGAAGAAGAAGTCACAAGAACGCACTACTCAAAGGTGATCTAAATACGGCTTCGATATCTTCTTAGAAAAAAAGCTTTTTTTTCTTTTTTCTCAAGCTTTGGCTGTTACATGGTGACAAGGCTAATATTTCCTCTCGACTGTAGCAGGTGTGACGTCAATGCTAATGCTAATGGGATTGCAATGACCCGGTATCCTGGGAAATGGCTATTGGATTGAGGATTGATGCCCGATTTAATCTGTATTGTTCCAAGAATTTGGGAAGGGAGGTGAGGTGAAGTGGGACGAGGGGTGCTGAAGAGGTTGCAGGATATTTGTAGATTCGAAAGAGATGTTCTGGGGAAGAGGTCAAGAAGCTCCGCCGACAGATATAAGTAGTCAATTTTAACTGTGAGCTAGAAAGTGGTATCGCACTGCTGAGTAGTTAATAAATGTGGGGCTTTTTTGGTTATCGAAGACACATTGTGGCGTATAAGTAAGTGTGGGACATAGTCGTTTGCAGGATGCACAAGGGAATCAAGTGGGGGTAATCCAGAGTTTACGCTCTTTGCCACAAACTTGGCCTTTTTCGTCGTCTGATTGGGTGGTTTCGCACTCTTGTTGCAGTGAGATCCTTGTCTTTTTGCGGGGGTTTGATCGTTGTAAAAGAGGCTTGGGTGTGACCGTATTCGCAAAAACCTCGAGCCAGTCGCTTGGAAATATAATGGGGCTTTGTGAAACGAGTGGCACTTTGTTTTGAAGACGGATAGGGAAGGAGGGGACTTCGGTAGGGAGTATGTCTCTCTATTTTTTTTAAGAATCGTTGGTGTGGTATCTAAAGGGCCGAAGAAGAAAGGGTCTTTTGATGCTGATGATGCGTGTACAGTATCGAATAGTTTGGTGATGAGACAGATGAGAAAATGAACGCGTTGCTGTGGGCAATCCGAGTATTCCGATAGAGTCTTGTCTGATTTCATCAGATATAGTGTACAATTCCTAAGAATAGGATCAATGGTATTGTTAAGAGATTCTCGGATGTATATTTCGGGGTACCGATCGTCTTCGGCAGTTAGTTCTTGTACGCGCGTTGATATATTGAAGCGCTCTGGAAATGAGGCTCGTCATGACTAGAGCATGTCCTTGGTGTTTGACTTTCATTTACAGCACTAAATGGAGCAGGGTCATCGATTGCGTTTGCGCCTAAAGCTTATAGACAGTAAACGGTGGGGCAGTCCCCTCACACACATCTTAGCCTTACAGCACGCTGGAACATTTATAGGCAATAAGGTAGCTCTTATTCTCCACTCTACAAGTTGCGAACCCTATTTCTATAGCGAGTAGTATCCACTTTTACAGCGAATGTAGGGTTCACATACGCGACGCTACCCAAATCCGTGGATTTGGAATACGAAGGGCAATGCTTACATCGCCTCATTTTCGCCGTAGCACTCCAACGTTGGAGTCATGTTATTGGTAATCGTCACTGCATTCTGAAAGATCACCCTCCGATGATCATCGTTCTAGTTCAGGCGGAACTAATTTCGGTTCCGGATCCGTCCCCATCCGGACCCCCTGGAACCCAGCCCATAGCACACTGCCGCGACGATGGTCCGAGATTTAGCGAGTGAGCACGCAGCTAACGCAAATATAATAAGCGGCACAGCTGTTCAGAGACTTCTAGGTATGATCTATCAGCTCAAAATGTCTGGAAACTAGTGTTTGGTACACGCTTGACTAGCTTACCAAGTTCAACGGGCCAATGTTTCGTCAAACCATATACCAGAACACGAACACAAACCACAGCAAACTTTGCTTACGCCATGACAGGCGATGCACTAAATGTGCATTTATTAAAGTATGACATGATTTTTCGAAGAAGTCGTCCGATTTCGCCTCAATTCAAGAGCGTCGTAATAGATATACCGAGGCCGTTAAGGACTGTGACATTCTCGCGTTCATGGAAAGCAAGTTGAGACAGGGCCTGAACCAATCAGGAATCCGGAGCAGAGTCGAGAGCTTCTGGAGTGGCTTATGGCTACCACCCGCAACCCAAAATGGATACTGAGGCGAAGCCGTACATATATTTCGCGGAGCCGCACGCTCGTTCTATGATTGTGGAAGGTAATTCTTCACCCATGCTTGTCCCTATTACCTGGAGACGTTTGCTACAATCCTGCGATTGGCACTGCCTTCGTATCAGCGGAGATATAGCCGAAGATGTAAAGTTCCCACTTGACGGCTTTGATAGTTGGGTCTGTGTTACGTCAAGTCACTTACACACATCGGCCCACTCCCAAGACGCGGACTGCTTTGACCATCGGAAATTTTATGGCGACATTTCAATCCTTACGTGGTTTACATTTGCCACAAACGAAGCTATGCTGGAGTGAGTGAGTGAGTGGTGTTTGCTCCCATGGTGACTGTTTGTGCACGTGCCACATGTGACTTCTTGTTTGAAACCCGCGCCTTGAGTATCTCATTGCCATTTCCCTCCGTCGTATTTCCTCTTTAATTGTCCATCTTCTTGTAGTCCCTTTCTTCAAAAAGCCCATCGCGGGGCCCGTCAATTGCGGCGGTACAGCTTTTCGGGCGAGTCCGGGGTCACAGCAGCAACCACACGCCTACACGAGTACCGGCACACTTTCCCACCAATTTCTTTGCCAACGGTCCTCACAAAAAATCTCCCAAAATGACGAATTCCAAGCAGGCTGCGCAATCCCGCATGTGGAAGAAGCCTCTAGCTATCTCAAACGCGACCAACCCGCTCGCAGTGGCACTGACCTTATATCCGGTACTAGAGGTAAGTTCCACCCTGTTACTAATTTTGGCTTAATTATTAATAAACAATAGACGCTTGTTTCGTACCTTCCGCCATATGACTTGGTCACAGTCACTCAGTTATGCCAAACCCTTCACAGCAACATCCAGATACATGACGCGAGGGTAAAGGCCAATCTACTTTCCAAGACCTTGTGTGCTGGACTGGGCTCGTATTTGCGCACATTGTTTCACTGTGCGTGCACAGCAAAGAGCTTTCGCCTAACTATCGGCTGTGCCGGCGATGGGTTTCGAACTGAATCGCGTCCGTGTGTGGAGTGCGGAATCAACACATGCGACGAGTGCCGGATACATGTCTTCTACAACCATCTCGTCGAGGACTCTGGCTACGACCAACGTCGCTGGTGGGCAGGCTTCTTCTTTCTGAATACCGCGTCGATTTCCGTCTTTCCACCAAAGCATGGCGATGTATCCGCCTGGTACCGTCCTATCGAAAAAATGGAGCCTCTCCACGATCGCGGCCGTTTCCACATTCCACTCCACATTCCAGCCATTGGCGATCCAGAGCCCATAGAGCGCCTCCTGGATATCAACCTGGGTGAGCATCAGATCATCAGCCCTCTTGGTCGTACTCAACCTCCATATAGCGGCAACGAAATCGTATCGTTCCTCAACATGATCATCACCCTGCGGAAAGAGCTTGTGTGCCTGGCATGCTTTAAGGAACGGCAGAAGAAAGGCTCATTCCGATGCTCCTGTACACTGCGTGAGCGCTTCCTCGACCGTTGGCTGTGCGTGGGTTGCTATGTAAAAGAAGATCACGCGGATAAAGCTATGTCTAGCCATATCGTTGTCCAAGACGACGATGGAGGCGGCCACCGTCATTTATGTGCCTGTGGGGCGAGTTTCGGAGCGGGTCCACAGCCAAAAATTCTTTGTAACTGGTGCAAGGGAGAAGTTGCAGGGGATTGGGTTGACGCCGAAAACGAGATGGAGGACCGAGACGCCGAAGAGCCCGAGGAGGAAGAGCAACAAGACGAGGAGCATTCAGCTACCGACTTCGCGCATATGGAGCCGGGTGAGCTTGGTTTTGCCAAAAATCGCGACGAGTCGTTATCAGCCTATGTAGACGGCACTTGCATTCGTGGAGAGCGGTTGGGGCGAGGCATTGTGCGCAAATGGAGGGTAGAGGAAGGTCTGCCGGACGAGTGCATTTGCTGTCTGTGCGAAGACGGCGATGCCAAACACAACCACAACCACGATGGAAACAACGGTGAGGGGAATGGTGACGAAGACGAATGGGAGACGGATGGGAACAGTACATCGGTCATTGACGACGGTGAGAGTAATTGAGGATATGCTGATGAGGGAAAGTCGCCTCCGAAGTGCTAGTATTGGGGCTATAGGAGTAGTTCACAAGGCCGTGCGTTACTGATTAAGGGGGTCAACGCAGAAAGCTATGTATGAATGTCGATGTACTCGGAGTTCGCTAACACGGCCAGCGAACACATAGCTACCCAACCGTCCTAGGGCAAGAAACGTCTCAAGTGAATAGAAAGATAGGGAGCCGGTGATGGCGAGTAGCGCCTCCCCGCAGTGTGCACGACCTCCTTCCCGATGTGGGCCCTCACTATAGGATGCGAGTCGGGAGGCTTGGCATTGACAGCGACGCCTCGCCTCACCGGAGGCTCACCACCATCATGCTGGAATACCATGCTGGAATGCCATGCCCGTTCCTGTCCAATCGATCCTTGGGCCATCTTATCGCCCGTCTGTCACACCGACTCCCTATCGTCGATCTCGGTTGTGGAGATGTGAATGTAGATCCATAGAGAGGCGCAGTGTGAGGTCGCAGTGCCTACGCAGACATCTGAGCGAGCACTGATTCTGAAAGCTACGAATACATCACATGCACTCATGTCTTACAAGTGCTGTGGGTATGTCGGTGACTTCGTATTACCTTTGAACTATGCATTTGACTTACGTAGGAGATAGTCGGTCTCGACACTGAGTCGCCGTGTCCGGTGGTGCGTCGATGCCGCCAAGGCCTCTCGCCCGGCCTCTCGGCTCGTCGGCCAAATGCTCCAGGTGCAAACGCATGATAGTGGATAAAATTCTGCGAAAAGAGCGTGCAGACAGCCGTAGGACAAGCAATTATCGATAAACTCATAACCTGCACGGTTTCCCCATACTTTTCCTAGTCATTGCATCATTCCTGGAACCCTACAAAGCACATGTATATGCTCTAGCCCGACGCTACTGCCACACAACCAACAACTATTACGTCTCTTACACATGCTCGTGCAAGCAGAATATCCTTTCTAATAGCCTTGGCCTCTTCTGAGTCCTTCAGCACATTTCCAATACCTGAACGATGAAACTGTTACCAACCTTTTCCGAGGACCGTAGCGCACAGACAGAAACATTCAAGAACATCGCCACTGAAACTATTGGGGAGACATACATCGAAGAAGACCCATCGGTGGCAGAATGGTTTCGCGAGTTGATTCCGAATTCACACGGCATGGTCGAGTATCTTCGCCAAGTGTGTCCGAGTGCGCGCTGGATCAGAAGATACAACCTACATTGGCTAGCCGGTGATGCTATTGCTGGAATAACTGTGGGTCTTGTCGTCGTTCCCCAGGGAGTAGCATATGCATTGCTTGCTCGCTTGTCGCCTGCTTTCGGTCTTTACACTACCTTTACAGGCGCATGTCTATACTGGATATTCGGTACTTCAAGAGACATTGTCATAGGTGTAAGTCAAATTCTCCATCTCAATACGCTCGTATCTGACCCAAATATAGACTACTGCCGTTGGCTCACTCCTGATTGGTAGTGCTGTCAGTAAGGTCGAGACTTCCCATCCGGGAAAGTACAAGCCTGAGGAAGTGGCTCATGCCATAAGCTTCTTGGCTGGTGCCATCTTACTCGCCTTTGGTTTCCTCCGCCTTGGCTTCATCATTGAATTCATACCTTACATACCTATCTCGGCCTTCATCACATCAGCAAGCATCACAATCATCTCAACCCAGCTGCCGACGTTGATGGGTGTGAAGGGCATAAATACGCGCGAGTCCCCATATAAGGTGTACGTCAACTTTCTCAAGGGTCTGCCTCGCGCACAACTCGACGCGGCTATCGGCATTACATCCATCATCCTCCTGTATCTTATCAAGAATACTTGCGCTAAGATGGAGGTACGACAATCGCGGAAGAAGAAGATGTGGTCCCTTATATCCTCATTGCGTCTTGCCTTCACCGTACTGCTCTACACCCTTGTCAGCTGGTTGGTCAACCGGAAGATGCCTACAGGCAAAGAGAAATTTCGTATTGTCGGCCGCATCGAGAAAGGCTTCAGTCATGCTGGCGTACCACCGATGAATGGCGAACTTTTCGGGATAGTTGCCTCTGAGCTGCCTGCTATGATCATCATTCTCATTGTCGAACACATCGCCATTGCGAAGAGCTTTGGTCGCCAGAATAACTACACTGTCATCCCCTCCCAAGAGATGATTGCACAGGGTGCCGCCAATCTTCTTAGTCCATTTGTCGGTGGCTATGTTTGTACTGGATCCTTTGGTGCTTCTGCTGTGTTATCCAAAGCAGCAGTACGAACTCCACTCTCTGGAGTCTTCAGCGCGTTAGTATTGGTACTAGCACTGTACGCGCTTACTGCAGTCTTCCACTACATCCCCAACGCAGCACTCGCTGGTATCATTATCCACTCCACTGTTGATTTGATCAAAGGCCCAAAGGACCTGCACAAGTATTACCAACTATCCCCATTCGAACTCTTCATCTGGGTATGTGGTGTTGTCATCGCCTTCTTTACCAACCTCGAGACAGCCATCTATGTAACCGTCGGTCTTTCCTTCGCTATGCTTCTATTGCGCATCGCTAAGAGCCCAGGCAAGTTCCGTGGCTCGGTGGGAGTGACACGCGTTGTGCGTGAAGATCTGCCATGCGATCAAGCATCTTCCGCGGAAACACTTGACGTCCCACTGGTTAGCCATATTGAACATGTTGAAGGAATGCGCCAGGTCTACATTCCCTACGACGTCAAAGACAACCACAACCCGAATATCACCATCGAACCTGCATACCCTGGTGTTTTCATCTACCGCTTCAGCGAGAGTTTCAACTACATCAACCAAGCCTACCACATCGATCATCTTACCTCTTACATCAAGTCAAATACCCGCCGAACGCGAACAGACGACGGCATCAGTGATCACGACCGCCTTTGGTGCGACGCCTTACCTACGGAGAAGCTCATCCAAGAGTCTGCCTCACTGCCAGTTCTACGAGCAGTGGTACTCGACTTTTCCACCGTCAACATCCTCGATATCACCAGCATCGACGGATTGAAAGCCTTGCGCGATACGCTGGACCGGTATGCAGCACCTGGTTTGGTAGAGTGGCATTTCGCTGGCGTACACAATCGATGGACACGTAAAGCGCTTTCCTTTGCGGGTTTCGGGTTTCCTGCAACTACAAACGTTGATAGCATGAGTAACTGGTGTCCTGCATACACGGTTACTACAAGCCTGGCTGGCGCGACAGATGAAGAGCGCAAAGAAATGGAGATTGTGAAAAGAAGCGCTAGTGTGCTAGATGAAGAGTCGTGTAAAGAAACCGTTGAGTCGAGTGAGACACAGGTTCATACGAGTAGTTCAGGCATGGAGAGGCGCTTCGAGTCTATTTATGGCATCGATAGGCCCTTTTTTCATCTCGACCTTCACGACGCTGTTGACGCAGCAGTGAGAGATGCGAAAAAGGCTGATATGCGGGAGGCACGGACGATCTGCTCCCTCAGCGATCGGTCTGCCACTCCTCAATCAGGTGAAGTGGTGTAGATCACTTGATTTTCTTTTTATTTTCCTTCACTTATCTCCTCATATCCATTGGGTTAGAAAATTAGCGGTGGCGTCTGGCATCAATTGGCGTTTTGGTTTTTTGTAACGTTAGATTTCCCGAGTCGATGGTGATCCGCAGAATATGGAACACATGCTAGTATGAGCTTAGACTCGGCTCCTCATAATGAATAATGATAAAAGCAATCTGAATTTGGTTGTATGTATCGATTTCACTCCGAGAGAGTGTGCGCACATGACATAGCTTGCTGCCTCAGACTCGACACTGGAGCAAGCGAACGACCAATCACGTGTCGGGAGCAGTGAGTTACGGATTTGGTACATCGTCGGGAAGACAACTAATAATGAGGACTTTCTGTACAGCTATTCAACAACTGTATAGACAGGCTATGATATGTGTTAGTGGCATATAGTTCACAGACACTGTTGGCGGTAAAACAACACGTACTGTCCAGTCCGTGTGAGGATGGGGTTATCCTTCTAAGCTCACGTGCATGCATTCTACAAGTATTTTGACTCACTATCAAACCGTATCTTATACTCATAACTAGCGGCCTTCACCTTGAAATGAAATCAAACAGGTTGGTATTTGCCGTTATAAGAGGCTGCAAACGCGCAGCCATGTCTGCGCCGCACCATTTGCGTTATGTTCTGTCGCAAGCAGATACTACTCAAAGTACGGCACAAATATTTATAGTCTGGAGGATATCTACTACAACTACTGGTATAGATATCCAGCTACTTAAAGGAATGATGCCTGTAACTCATAGCCCTCAGCTGCAGTTGTAGAGTATACGTCTCGCATTCACTACCGTAGGGTCTTAGCGTCTTTCCCCTTCACTGCCTGGTAAGCAAGTCCGTTTGCAGTCTGTTAGCCTCGCTAAGATACCCCACACACAGTATATACGAAGGTGTGTACACCCCCATTTGTACCTTTTCTCTCCAACATATTCATCGACCTCTCGCCGCTCGACCGTATCGAGCCTTAATCCACGGAACAATGGATAACACCAAGTTACTGACAGCGATCAGGGAAGGCACTCTGAGTGATGACGAGGCCAAAGGACAGCTTCTTAAACGCAGACATGCCATTGCAATCGACGAAGGCCTCCCTGCTGACCTCCGAGCCCGAGCCCTTGAGATATGTGACAATGCCTTCAAGTCCGGCATCTTCGAAGCAACCAGCAAGACGCCGCCGTTTGTCACATTCCTGCGCGATGCACTGGAAGAAATTGTACTCGTGTACATGGACAAGGACGCTCGGCTCATGCCATCATCCAAGACAAGAACAAGCACTCCAGCCGATGCGACAGAGCACACGCTTGAGCCAGAGTCCGATCTCGAGCATCGGTCTACTACCTCTAGCAGGGGCAGGGGCAGGCGCTCGAGATCAGTGACTTTGGAACGATCAATGGTCGCGGGTGCAGTCGAAGCGAGGCGGCTTCGGAAGCGTCGCGCGCATTTTGACAATGATACATCTAAGAGAGATCCGAAGCATCGTCTTTACGGACCCCCCGAAAATATTCCCAAGACGAAGGAGCAAGCAGACGCTTCACCCTCCATGATTGTGAAATTGCGTGTTTCAAGTACAAGTGACAGCAACAAGTTGTTGGGCGTATCTGTTCCCATCCCCAGAAGATCTTCTTGAATTGTTCAAGGCTAACATACTCAAGACTCGCGATATATCCAACAGACCACTTGATCGCAGAAACGCACTGTCCAGAAATATTGATCCTTTCCCCGATTATAACAGCCGCTTCATTACGACTAGAACGACAAGTATGGAACTACCTTCTACAGGCACTCCACCTAGCATGGGCTATACGGTCGAAGAACGAACCCCTCACGTGAAGAGGGTCCATTTCTCAGACAGCTACACTGCTGGCAGTGCCACACCAGTCGGCGACTTCTTATTCGAAAGGGCCAATACCTCGAATGATTCCAATGCACAGGGAGGTTCTAGTACACAAGCTAGTGTCACCCAGTCCAGTGCAAGTCAAGACTCGAACAACCAAGCCAGCATCCTCAAGCAGACCACCAAGAAACAAGACAAGCCAAAGGCAGAAGAATCCCGTTTGGAAAGTCTCCAGAGAAAATATGCTTTACGCAATGCCAGTCAACCTGACAGAGAACCGAGCTTCACAGATCGGCTTATGAGACCAGGGCGTGTACCTCCACCACGACCTGAGCAGATGTTTACAGCAGGGCCTCCACGCCGCAATAGCTCCTCTGACGGCTTCAGCCTTCCGAATTTGCCAACACTACCAAGGGTACCGCGTGTACTCATATTACCAACACAAGCCGGTGCACCAGGCGCATCCAAGTCACCAACAGAAGCTGGAGCAACAAGTGTGCCCATATTGCCAACGCAAGCCGGGGCATCAGAAACACCTACGTCACCAACAAGAGCAAGAGCACCGCGTCTACTCAAGAAATCCGTGGAACAAGGCAGACCAGACAAGGAAGTGAAAGTTGCAACATCCCATCCTCCTCCTCCTCCTCCACGCCATGAGTCCCAGTTTCTCAGTTCTAATCTTCCCACTTCGGCAGAAGCAAGGCTTCGAATTCCCAGGGATCTGTTTATCTCTCCCAACCTTCCTGAATCAATACAACAACTAGAACGACTACTTGCAGGCCGCGGGGATCTCGTCGTCTCTCCCAACGTTCCCGCGTCACTGCCACAGATCGAATCACTGCCTCCACCCCCAGGAGCCGCATTTCCCAATCGCAGATTTCCTCCACTGCCAAATCAAGCAGGAGCACCAGGCGTAGCCAATACCTTGGAAGGAGAAGCCAGGGAATATATTACACTAGCACCTTTCCACCCGGAAGCCGCATCATCGTCTCATAACCTTCCCCCGTTGTCAGCGACTGTAGGCGACCTACTTCCACGCCGCCATGTCTTCAACCTTAGACCCATTCTTCCAAAGCCTTCAAAGCCAGAACGAGCATCAAGTGTAGTCAGCCAATCACCAGGACCCGCAGCAGGAAGAGAAGCACGTGCAGCTAGTGAACCTGTCAGACCCGCGAGAGGAAGAGGCCGAGCGCGAGGCAGAGGAAGAGGAAGACCCAGAAAAGTACCTGCAACATCGCCTCTACGCAACGAAATTATCATTCCACCACTAGCCCAGCCAATAGAGCCGCCTGTAAACTTCACTATCCCCATTCCCAACCTCGGTCTTCCTACGCTGTCAGTACGACCAGGGGCATCACGCATATTCACTGAACTCTTTACCCGCGACTCTCATATGGAAGATGTCAGACCGGCACCAAACGAACCAAGGGAGCCAGAAGTCGATGCTGTCGAGCCAATTTCCACCGCGAACCAACCCCCTCCTTCTCCTCCGGCAACTTCGTCCTTACCACCCCCCATCACGCCACCACCTCCACCTCGCAGTCCCCCCATCTCCATCTTCTCCGCATCGTCCTCCCCCTCTTCCGCACCTTCATCCCCATGTCCACAACCCACGACAGCTACTCCTCGCCCCCCTCTCTATATCTCTTCTGCCGCCTCCTCCCCATCCCCCTCCCCATCCCCCACAACCCGCCAACTCGCCGCCTTCGCAGCATCCATCTACCACTCCCCCTCCCAGTCCACCACACAACCCCCTTCCCACCCAACTTCAACACGCCCAACCCTATCCTTCCCCCCTTACCCCCCCACACTCACCCCCCGCGCCCTCCCCCACTTCCACACCGGCGCCACCATCGCACTCGAAAATATCAGCCAAGACTACGCCATCACACCTGACTTTTCGCTTCTGCATCTCGTCGACGATTTACAAGACAATCGCCCGACCGTGTTCGATTGGGAGCATGTTACGGTCATGAGTGGCGGCAATTGGGTGTTTGGGGTGTTGAGGCAGGTTTGGCGGGAGTGGGGGGTGAGGGTGGGGGTTGAGGAGGTTGTGCAGGAGTTGATGGAGTGGGTTGAGAGGGAGTTTGAGAGGGTAGGAGGGGGCAGTGATTGATTGATTGATTTTTCGGGTTCGTTTTTTTCTTGGGGTTTGAGGGTTGGGTGTGCTGGGTGCTGCAAAATGGATCAAGGAGAGACAGGTTTGCAAGAGGAGATTCGTGGGTTCTTTTTTATTTATTGGTTCTGTTTCTGCTGGATCAGGGTAACGATGATTGCTACGTTATCTGGTAGTCGTCGTGTCGGTGAGCATGATCATTTGCTTAGGGGCAATAGACGTATGGGTCGCGGTGGTTTGTACGGTATTGGTTGACGAGAGTAATTAATTCAGGCCAGCTGAGCTAAGTATACATACATATAGAATATCAAAGTCTCTGCTCCCACATTCCGTCATATCATCGTGTGTACATGGAGCACTGAGTAGTATAACGTGCAGCCCATTCTTACCAAGACCCCAGTCGACTTTGAAACAACACTGCATGTAATGTATGTCGTGCCATTAGAGATGTACCAAGACGTGTCAAAATCCACATGGTCTAGAAACGGTCCAGGGCTGGCCATATCCTCGAGCCATCATGCCCGTGACCCTAGGTGTCACCGCTAGTACTCCCTTCACCTCGTTCCGAGTCTGGGTCAGTACATGACTCCCCCTCCTGACTCGTTGTGGACACAAGCTTTTAGCGTCTCCAGACTTACCGAGGTTTTGGCGACGCTTCAAGCCCGATACACAACGGTTCACGACTCGCGAAGCAACCTTATCTAAGCGAGGTTTCTTCCGGTCACTAGTGCCACGTGCCGAACCTCGGAAAGATGTCACAAGGAAAAATTGAGTTCCCGAATCAATGAATATCTTTCCTAGAAGGTATCGGAGCTGCCCATTCTCAGCAGCTTCAACACGAGTTGGCTAGTGGGATCTACGAGCCCGACTTGTTAGGGCCGATTTGCCAAGCCGGATGTGAATCCTTCCACCCAGACTAAAGTTGTGCAGAGTCCACAAGTCTACTCCTGGTAGACACTGGTATCGCACGTTTGTTCGTGTCTGTAGGTCAATGGGTTATGTCTGCTTGTTCTTCGTGGCGCGTAAAATGTGTAGGTTGAGTTCATCAACGGTAATTTTTGTTGATTCAGTAGTTGTGCAGCTGCGGGGGCCGGAAGAGCTGGTGGCTCTGTTCTATCATCATCTCAATGTTCTTGGATTCGTTCATCTCGAAATCGTGCATCAGCTCCATCTGCTGTTGCTGATTCAGTCCCGTCCCTCTGGAGTCTTGGCTCCAGGCTGGATTGAGATAATCGGCCATTTCATAGCCCTGATTGGCTGCATACGATTCATTGTAGAAAGGTGAGGCCATGGACATGTTGTAGTTGTCTTGGGGCGGCATGGTAAAAGTCGGGTTCCATTGAGGTAGCTCCGCAAAGGTTGTAGGGAGCGAGTTGAATTGTGTGGTGGATGGGTGAGTGTAAATGGGTATGTTGGAATCGACCGACGTTTTCGGGCTCATATCATTGTATGTCATGGATGGAGGCTGTTGGGGCGATGAGTGCAAATCAGCCTGCTGCACACTTTGCGCACTGGAGAATGGGGCGGGTGCATTCGTCTGTCCATTGCCAAAGTTGAAGAGCGGTTGATTGCTTGGTATGTAGCCGAATGGCGCTGTCACCCTGTCGGACGGTGTGCCCACCGATGCCGTGGACGCTGTTGCTGGACTTGTAGTTCTTGACCGGTTGATACCATCTACGTTGCCGTTTGCTACTGATGCAGTGTCGGATGGTGAGCTAGCCGAGATTGGGACGTCGCCGTCTTTGTCGAAGATCTTCATGCATGCGCTGATCAGGTTGTGATACAGGCCAATAGCAGACTCGACACCGGGCCATCGTTCAGACGCCTGTTTAATTGACTCCATGGCGACTACGAGATGGCCTTCGACCTCTTCCCGACTGTGGAGTTTTCGTACATCGGAGTAAGACAGGGTCCAGAGCATAGTGTTGATGCACATGAAAATGGATTGGGTGAAGATCCAGGTGACGTCTACGCTCTTGGTCTCAATCTGCTTCATGGTCATGTAGATGTTGTACCGGCATGCGTCGAAGCAGCGGATCGCAGCATCGACCGACGGTCGGGGGACTTGTGGGGAAGGGCGGTACATGAAGACGACCATGGTGTTGTATCGTCCAATGAACCTGCATGGTAAGTAAGTATTGGCGTGTATTTTAAAATGGAGGGGCTGCATACCAAACCTTGTTCAAACCCGAGCCGCCGTCCATTTCCGGACTCGTGTCTCGCCAGGCCTCAATCTTTGCTAGCATCTGAGCAAACCAGGGGTGCTGGTCATCTTTGGGCTCGGGTTTCTTCTTTTGGTACAGCATCTTGCGTATTTCGAGTTGTAGCAAGCGCATCTTATAGAAGTGTTGGCCGATCCATTTCTTGAGTGATGCCTGGGGCGCGGGCTTTATTCCTTCTCTGGTGATGTAGCAGTCATCGACAAGTTCTCCAAATTGTACGTCAATGTGTTCGCGGCGCGTGGCAAAGTGGGCGGGTCGGCCTAGACTGTGTGATAGCCCATAGTCCATGGTAAGAATACTCCAGAATAGACGCCTGCGCATGTCGACTTCCAGGGGGTCTGCTGAACGCCCACCTGGGCCCATGGAAATGGTCTTCTCTTCGTGCAAGCCCAATGCTTGACACAGTCGCACGCCGAGGCCAATGATGTAATAGACGGCGGTTCTTGTAGGCGTTAGAAGAGAGTAGCCTGCTACTAGGCCAAAGCATTGTAGCGTCTTGAGGTTCATGGGCTTGATGGCGGCTTCGAAGTACTTGAGGGCTGCGAGGTAGTAGCTGTCGGCTAGACCAACCCACTGCGTGTCCATTTTCTGCAGGCTAATGGCAATGACCATGCGCAGGCAGTAGTTCTGATAAGGGTCTGTGGAGCCATTGTAAACATCATCGACGTCCTTTGTAAACGTGGGCTCGTGGAAGAGGGGGTACATGGGGTGCACTATCAGCGGTTAGCTCATGCAGGCTTATCAAAAGGAAAGAACAACGTGCCTTTGCAGTAGAAGAGCTCAACGAGCAAATTGGTGAGTTCTCTACTGGGCAGCTCCTCTGCCGCTACATCACTAACCATGGAGTATATCTTGGAGGTGGGTCTTTGATCTTCTTGGGTGAAGGTGTCCTTGATGTCCTTTGCGCGCGAGTGTGGCACAATCTCGGAAATGCTCTTGGACTCTGTAAACTGCTTGGCCAGCTGCATGACGAGGCGTGTGATGGTGATGCCGCTCGAGGGGCCTAGAAACTTTGACTCGTCCGAGTCCTGGACACGCACAGTGGCGGCCCCGCGCATGACATCCTCAGGGTCCGGCTCGGCATCGTCTCGCTCGAGGTCAGCCAGCTGCTTCTCGAGTTGGCGGACTTTCTGCTGCAAATGGACAACATAATTGCGCGGTATCTTGCGGCCTTTGGCAGGGTCGTAGTACTCGCAGTGGGAGTTTGTGCGCTCACAGGGCCCACACCGGGGGAGGCCAGGGTCGCAACGTGTCTTGCGCTGGAGACGTGTCAGGCTGGGGCTACAGTTTTCAGTGGGAGGGATACTTACAGTGCGGCAGCGGCAGCAGGCGGTCAGGGTATGTGCTATGCGGGATTGGGAACCGGTGGTGGAGGAGGTTGTGTCGTCGGCCGGGTGCGGGGCGGCTTCGGTGCTGGTCTGTATAGCAGTCGAGGCGGCGTCCATGGCTGCTCTCTCTCACCGTCCGGGCAGACACAGCAGCAGCAGAGAGAGGGATGGGAGCGAGGATAGCGACGAGGGCGCAGTGTTTATGATTGTTCTTCGGCCTGGCATGTGGGGAGAGAGCGGGCGTGCACGGCCATGGCCGGAGATGGTGCTGCGGCGGCGAGGGTGATGATGTGCTTGCTGCTGTGTTGTAGTGCCTGTGCCAATGCCAGGGCCAATAGTAAGGACCAATTCCGAGACCAATGCCAACCAACGTCAGTGCCAGAGCCAGTGCTTGCAGCAGCAGCAGCAGCAGAAGAAGAAGAAGAAGAAGAAGAAGAAGAAGAAGAACAAGAAGTGCAAGGACGCAGACGGGCAAAAGGGACCAGGGCTCAGCATGGGGTGGCCATGGCTACTACTAGGGAAGGGTAGGCTGCGGCACCGCCACCCGCAGGTCTCGAACCTCGCAGCCAGCGCCATCAGCATCCAATCCACGGCCCTCTTGTCACCTGTCAGCCGGCACTACCAACTGTCGCAATAGGCGGCTCTTATGCCCCGTCCGGTACAAGCCTGAGCTGCCCGCTGCCCTACCCGTGACGAGGTCACTGCTCAACACCACGCTATCTCCTCTCAGTACCATACACTGCACTCGCACCCCCGGCACCGCATCCCCACCCTTCCCACGCGACACTGGCACTCCTGGCTCTTCCCTGCGCTAGCCTGCCCGCTTGCATTGCACCGAGCCCGCTGGCTGTGCCTGTGCTTGCTGCCGTCTTGTCTTGCCCTGTCTCACCACCACCCAGACCTCCACAAGTAGTGCCCAGTCGGGCCTTGACGTATCGCCCCACGCCCGAGCTAGCCCCTCTCTCCAACGGACCTCTCTTGCAACCTCTCATGCTCCAACTCTGCTGCTTGCCCATTCCACATCTCTCTACCAATGGTCCTTGAGACCCCGTTGCTCCGCGTGAGCAGGCCCGTCGCCGCCTGCTCCCGGTGCCGTGCTGCAAAAGTAAAGTGCGACGGCAAGTTGCCCGCCTGCACTGCCTGTGAAAAGTCCAATCGCGCCTCGGAATGCTCAAGCACAAACGACCAGTTTGCAAGGGGTAAGGAACGCAGCTATGTCGCTACTCTCGAGTCGAGGGTCGAGAAACTGGAGAAGAAGATCCAGGAAGCAAGAGCAAGAAGAAAGTCTTCGGTTATCATCATGCACGACACGTCCGACGACTCCACCCCACGCAGGTCTTCTACCGACACCCTAAAAGCAACCAAACCCGTCAGCCAGCGTGCTGCTCGACAGAGAGAGGCTTCCGAGATTGACGATCTGGTATCCGACTTTGGTCTTCTGTGAGTGCTGTCCGTTGAGATCCCCGTGCAAAGCCGCTGCTGACTCTCCAACCAGCGCCGTCAATGCCACTGCAAGAGACTTTTATGGCTTCACCACAGAAATGTCGTATGCTCGCCTTATCAGGTCTGCCAGCACAAAAGAGCCCTTATCAGGTGACTTGATCAAGCCGCTGCCTCCAAGGTTCGCAGCCACTCCACTCATTCAACACTACCTCAACAACGTCTTCACCCTTTGGCCCATCTTTGAAGAGGCCACCCTATATTCTTCTGTCGAGGCCGTTTATCAGCAAGGAAACAATTCCACTCCTTGGGACCGATGGTGTGTCCGCATGGTCCTGGCCATTGCCTGTCTCTCCCAATCAGAATCCAGGGGAGACAATCATTATACAGATGCAGTTGGACACATGATTGCTGCACTCGAAAACGCCGAAGAAGTTCTCCATCCGGGATACATTGCCAGCATTCAAGCTCTGGTCCTCTGGACCATATACGCCACAATGGACCCTCACCACTTCGACAGCTGGACACTTGTAGGCGCAGCTTCCAGAGCAATGGTCGACCTTGGTATCCACCAGGACCCCTCCAAGAACGTAGCCATATCCCGCACAAAACTAGAGTTACGGCGACGGGTATATTGGTGTGTGTACTCCTTAGACAGGTAAGCGTGCACATGGCCAGCCCTACATCCTTCACACTGACTTGTATGCAGATCTACTTCACTCGTCCAAACGCGCGCCTTCTCCTTCTCGGATGAGGCAGCAAACGTAGCTTTCCCCTTTTACAGCACGCCCATGTCGCCAAAATACTCGTCTCCCCAGTCGCACCTCTTCCAGCAATCCTTCGATACTGCCATTGATCTATTCAAGATTCGCGAGATCCAGTCAGAGTGGTACATGGACCTGTTCCAGTCCGGACGCGAGCCCTGGCCAGACCCTTACCAATACATCTGGAAGCAGTACAACAGGATGGCCGACTGGTTCCAAGATATGCCGCAGAGTACATTGCCGGCAGTCAAATCTTTCTTCGAACTGGAGTTGCTCTACAGCTATGTCTACATTCTGTCACCTAACCCGCGTATACCCCATATCCACGAATATGCCCAGCGCCTGATCTTTGAGCATTGTATCGCCTATGCGGCCAACCTCCTTGCCGTCTTGGACAAGCCCTCCCACACTGTCAAGCCACCAGTGACATACTACGATGCCATGCGGGCATACATGACTGGTCGCCAGTTCGTAGATGTTCTATCCCGAAATCTCGAGGTCATCCTCGATGCGAGACCGGCGGTACCTCCTGCACCGGCGACGGGTACGCAAGTGGAGTCGGAAGATCCCCTCGCCCCACCCACGCAGGTCAATGCACCCCCCTTCCCTAGTCCCTCTCCGGCAGAAGGACAGTCGCTGCCCTTAGATCCGACTACCCGGGCCATCAATGCGCTCAACGATTACACAACGTTACTCTCTAGGTTCGGACTAAGATTTGGCTTCATACACTGGCGCGACCGATTCCAACGCGAATCAGCGTCTCTTTCAGCACAGCTTCATCAGCGCAGTCAGGCAGCGCCGACGACTTACTCTCCGCAATGGGGATCCATGCCATCTTTGTCGCCGCAACCACCACAGTTGATGTATTCCAATCTGCCAGCGACACCGCCTAGTCTCTTTCCTCAGCAGTCAAGTCCCTATACTAGCTCACTTTCATACAACAACTCGTATGATGGCTCCGGGCAAAGTCCACAGCAGCATGGTATGACATACGATGCTAGCCCAAGCCAACATACATGGGCGACTCCATCTCCTCAGCCAGTACCTGAGCTCCCACAACCTTCGGGCGGCCAGACAAGAAGGGCAATGGTCTACGGGCCCGGTATTCCAGTGAATACAAACCGAGGCCGTAGTCCTGCGGCATCCTCGTCGCCGGCGCATGACACGAGTAATGGCTGGGTTCAACAAGACCAGCAACACTCAGACGCCAATAGTTACTTCCAAGCACCGCCATCTATGCCGCAACAGAACAGCGGCTCCTGGGGCCAGAGCTCACCCGACAACTGGAGCTGAGTCGCATAAGGCCATTGGGCGAGCGTATCCAGTAGGGAAAAAACTATCTAGACTAGTCGATTGCCCTTTGTATAGAGCTTCTGCCGACGCAGCATGCATGTGCCTGCCATTTTCGCCGATCAAGACCGACGTTCTCCACGTGTAACTGGCTGGACAGTTCGGCTGTATGACTAGTGTCTTGCTCGTGCAACTAGTGGGGAAAACGGGAGCGAGGTATGTCACCCGGAGAAGGAGCGGAGATGAACGCAATGGAATGAGAAGAAGAAGAAGAAAAACTCCCCGCGTGCTAGGCGTTTTGTAATAACCCTGGTAATTTCATGGGTGTGGACGATGATTTTAGTACGATTGCGTAAACATACATGTGCGTGCCGCAATAGGGGGCGTTCCGGACTTAAAGTCTGGAACTAGTGCCCGGCGGGTGTCTCACAAAAGTATATGCCGTAAGAAGTAACGGAGCGGCACCGCACGAATAGACGATTTGACGGCGTATGACGTGCGCGAAATATCAGCAATCAATACCGTTTTCCAACATTTCCCTTTTTGGGAATATATGTGTTTCTATCTTTACTGCCGGATTGCGGGAGCCAACTAGAATCAGATTACCATGTCTGGCCACGTGGTATATCTCACAAATCTTTTTAACATGTGATAAGAAGGATTTTTGCATGATTGCTAGGCTTATTAACAGTGATTAGTATGTAGCTTTTGGGGGTGTCAAAACTAACCACTTATGCTACCAACCCAGGAGCGAGATTAATTTTTTTTTCTGTTTGGACCTTGCGTGTGTTGTCGTGTTGTGTTCAAATAAGATCGACAGGGACCAAAAAAATGACAATCCCCCCCCTCCCCCTCCCCCCACTTGAACAAAATCGCGGGGCACATGCACACATGTACCCCACCCCGCGCCGCTATCTCTGCACAGCTCCCGCATTGAATGAATCCCACTGCCGATAACATGGCTTACTACATTACCGTGTGCACATTGCGATATCATATACCAGTTTACTCACTACTCCACCTGAACCCCCTTGATCTCCCCCTTCGTCGTTAAAACCCTGTAACGAAAGCAACCGACAATGTCAACACCCTACGACGGCGCCCTCAGCGCCATCGACGCCGCACACGCCCTCGACCCCAACAAAGTCGACATCAACGGCACCTCAACACCCTACGAACTGCACTACGCACAGAAATGCACCGCGTACCTCGCCCAGCGCGCCCCAGATGCCTCAGAAACACTGCGTCTCGCCATCCGCGCCCAGCACTTTCGTCGGTGGGAAGTGCCGCGCTCGTCGTACCCGCAGACACGCCCGGGATACCACGCGTGGCGCACGTTTCTCAAAAAACGGCAGGCGGAGCTCGTTAGCAAAATATGCCTAGAGGCGGGATATAGCGAGGCTGATGCCGAGCGTGTGGGCGCGCTGATACGTAAAGAAGACCTTAGAGAAGACGAAGAGACGCAGGTGCTGGAGGATGTGGCGTGTCTTGTCTTTCTAGATGACCAATTCGAGGCGTTTGAGAGGGAGCATGATGAGGAGAAGATTGTTGGGATACTGAGGAAGACGTGGGGGAAGATGAGTGAGAGGGGGCATGAGTTGGCGTTGGGTATGGATATGCCGGGGCGGAGGGGGGAGGTGCTTAAGAAGGCTTTGGGGGAGACGTAGGAGTTTGGATGGTGGAAGATGGAAGACGGGAAGGCAGATTTAGGGGTTGGATTGGATTGGGAGGGGGGTTTATGTGGATATCATTTTGAGCCGAGAGAAATATTATATATAGGTTGAAGGTTAATTAAGCTCCTCCTTCACGCTTTGCGTACTCCTCTTCAATTGCTTCTTCGTAGCGTCGCTCTGCTTCCTTTTCCTCCTCGGTCTTTTGGGTTTGGGTGGCGCTGGCTACGCTTTGTGTTGATGGGTTTTCCACGTTTTGCGCTGTCTCTGCCGTGGTAGAGGAGGTTTGTTGCGTTGTTGAAGACATGGGGACAGGCATTCTGGTTGTTTGGTTGGTTTAAGAGGGGTAGGAATTATTCCGAGTTTGGTTTGAGTAATTTGTTTGAGTGATGATGAGGTAGGGGTTGTGTGTTGTAGGGGATGAGAGATGGGTGTAAAAGGTGCCTATATATACGGGGAGTGCGACGTCATTGTGGCGGTGCAAGTGTGGCTGGAAACTTCTCGATGGCGGTGATTCGCCACACCTGTTCTGGACTTTTGTGCTGTGGCGATTAGGTTATGGCTTGGCACAGTGTGCTGCAGATTAGTGGAGTTGTTGAAGGGAATTACAGATTTACGGGTCTCAACGGATATGCTAATGATACTATCATGTAGAAATTGTGCTGGGGAGGTTGCGCTATTTTAAAGGTTAGATGTTGTAAACTTGTCGGCATGCTACATGCTGCTATTGCACGCCCGGGTATAGAAAGCAGGGTTAAGTACTAGCACTGTAGGAAAATTCAGATTCCATCAATGGAGACTGATGCATTTGTGTTGATGTCCCGAGGTTTTGGTATTAAGATCAACCTCCAGATTCTAGGCCTCCCGCTTGCCGCTTCCAAGATGAACGAATAAAGGAACGACAATATACATGCAGCAATATCCATCGAAAGGATCGCTAGCGCTTATACATGATACATGGGTAGTGCAGAGCTTTTCCAGTAACGACACACGTAACTGGCATCTGATCGGCTGTTTGCCTTGAGACGCCCCATTATTCAATGCAAGGCCGACCATCCACTCTCACTTCAGGCTGTATGCCCGGCTGTCCAAGTCCTTGTGAAATTTATCTTCGGTGTGTGAATAAAAATACTGATGCGTGTCTTGATATTCAGTCTTGATTTTTTTGTCAAGTCCCACGCATAAGTGCCTCCACGTTACGATGCGGCTGTTTCATGCTCTTGCCTCTTACCATCTGCTAGCAACAAGTCTTGTAGCTGCTGTTCCCCTCGATTCACAGCCGGCTTCAACTATTAACATAGATCCGACCATTGCACCCCTCGAAGCTCTTGCTCAACTGCAGCAACATGCCTATGAAACGCTCAAACAGCGTGAGAGTATCTCCAAAAGGGATTCTAAAGGCTGCTCTCTAGCTACTGCAACCATACGGAAAGGCTGGCAAGTCATCCATAGGCACTATTTTTTTCACTCATTAATATTATAAAGGGAATATATGAGCAAGAAGGATCGAAAGGCCTACATCGAAGCAGTACAATGTCTTCGACGATTGCCTCCCAAGTCTGACCCGTCCTGGGCCCCAGCAGCAAAGACTCGCTTCGATGATTTCGTCGCCATTCACGTGAACCAAACTTTGTACATACATGGAAATGGACCCTTCCTTACCTGGCATCGCTACTTTGTATGGGCCTATGAACAAGCTCTTCGAAACGAATGTGGATATAAAGGCTATCAACCCGTGAGTCTCATCCTCTTAATTACCTACAAGTTCCGCACTCTAATCCATATCTCATCCGCTAGTACTGGGACTGGTTTGCACATGCCGATAACATCTACGAGTCCCCCGTTTTTGACGGGAGTGATACCAGTTTGGGTGGTGACGGCGAATTCTTTGCACATAACGGAAGTCTTGCTGGCGGTCGATTGATGCCAATTCCCTCTGGAAAAGGGGGTGGGTGTGTCAAGAGCGGTCCTTTCAAAAAGTGAGGCTACATCCTGATATGGGAAATTGAAAAAAAACTAACACATTTGCAGTACGCAAGCAAACATTGGTCCCATTTCGCCTGGAATGCAAGGCTTGACTGATCTGGCGACTGGCATTACCGACTACAACCCCCACTGCCTGCGCCGAGATCTCAGTCCCTACATACCTCAGAAGTGGTTCACCACGGAGAATCTGCTGAATGTAACCATCGGTGCAGGATCCGTAACGCATCCCATTTTCTGGCAGGAAATTCTGGGTCGGTATACAGACGGGTTCTTAGGGCTGCACGCCTCAGGACATTACACCATGGGCGGAGACGCAACAGATCTCTACTCCTCTGTCAACGACCCTGCCTTTTACCTCCATCACACGATGCTTGACCGCATTTATTGGATCTGGCAGGTTCTCCACCCGGCTGAGGCAAACAAAGTGACTGGTACCTTGACGCTGCAGAACAAGCCCCCAACGCGCAACGCTACCATCGATGAGCCATTGGATATGGGAATCAACGGTGAGACGTTGAGGATTAGGGATATGTTCGATACGCTAGGTGGTACTCCTCTATGCTACATCTACCTTTGAGTAGGTGGACTGAAAGCTTGGATCTTTTGGTCATGTAGTATATTCTTCTAGGAGGGATGACTAGTTTCAATAATTGTTTGCTTTCGCACCGTCTCGTCTAATGTGCTGAGACAGGTAACAAGGATCAGGGCTTTGACACTAGTTGGGTGGGTAGTGATTGCCTAAGGTTTGAATTGTTCGCTACCATTGACACCACACTTGTCAACACCGTGTTGAGCTTTTAATCGCCAATAAAAACCAGACCCATCTCAGATCAGGCGCAGCGCATGAACAATCAAAGCCAACGGTCTCTCATGAGGCGATATACAACTGCTCAAACAACAATCTCATATGATGTCAATCTACGATATCCCACCCTCCCCACCTCAACCAGTGCACGTGCGCGTACACACCAACAGCAAACACAAAAACAAATCACGGCACTTATCTGACTCAACGCGTATCATACCGTCCAAACGGAAACCAGGGGCTTCTTTCAAGACCGAGAAGGCGAAGAAACACTTGACCACTCGGAAAAGACGTCTGCCGGTGCATCAGCTTGCTCTTTTGCGAACTACAACAAGCGATGGGTTGCCTCAATCGAGTGTAGGAGCCTGTCGCAGATGGGCACTTAGTATGACGCTAACGCTGCACACTCTAGGATATGGAAGTTACTTTTTCTGATTCCATTGCGGTAACTGATCCCATAGAGGACAGTCAATTCAATCGACCGATTACGCGTCCGTTAGGTGGTCTTGTACGATTGATGTACAAAAGGCACATTCTACTTCTAATGTGATTACAGATGTGCAACATAGTCACGTTGGGAAAACCCCCGTTTTCCCACACGATGCAGCACTCAGACATGCGCAGCACACCCATAGAGAGAACTCCAAACAGAGCTTCTATAGCCGATGAAACGCCTAAAGGGACGCGTAGCCCTATACTAAAGCAAATCCGAGATGTTTGTGTCACTCAAGATGGGCACATTGATCATGAGCTCCAGACCGCTTCGAGGGGACAGCCAGATCGTCGAGGAAACTATGTGTCGATCAGAAGAAAGAGACCAGCCGTTGTTCATACTCTCACTCTAGGAAGCGGACTTTTGCCTTCGCCTACCGATAAAACCCCCGATACTTCATACGCCATACAAAGGAAAAGACCGATTCCTGGATCGCGCAACTTATATAGGCTTGAAAATCGGCCAATTGATCAAAAATCAACGCAATTGACACTTGTCAACAGTTCGGAGTATTTGCGAAGACTACCAGTTCTCTCTCCTCCACGGGTTTCATGTAGAGGTGGCCCTTGATGGTTCTCTAGCATTGTGACTTCTGTTCGATACTACTCCGATAATCGAGAAGCAAATAGTGAAAAGGAAGCTTCATACTCCAGTCATTAGATTTCGCATCATGAACGGTATCATTGGTTCCTATGATGATCAATGGACATCGCAGATCAAGCTGATAAACTCTTAGACGGCATACGGTTGCTCTTAGTGTCATCATACCACGGATGAGAATATAAACCGGAAAGATATGAGGAATTGATATCTCTAAGCGATACAGTCAGGGCAGTTAAACTTGCAGTGAAGCCTTGCGCTAAGTGCGATGATTGGCTTCTTGTTTTTGAGTTCGAGAGCTGCAGCGAGACGGGAAGGGACGCCATAAGTCAACTACCCGTGGTAACAGGAGCAGTGAATGCTACGCGCTGCCGTGATGTCAGCTAAACTATATTGCCTCAGGTAGATAGCAATTGCGGGTAGAAGTTCCCAGAGTATACAATTTGCCAGTCAATCAGTGTTTCGTTCGGATACCAACAAGTAAATGTGGCGTTTCATGCCCTTGTCCTCTTTTTTGACTGCCGTAATAATAAAGCTTGACAACTGCTGTTCATGAAAATACCTCTATATGGAACGGAAAAGCTCTTGTTCAGCACAACTTTAAAATGTGACGAGGTGCTATGCTTCATGAATGCTATTCCCCAAAGAACTATCGTATACTTAAGTGATAAGACTAGGGCCAATGGCATTTACGCGACGCAAAGATCTACTGCAGATCAACGATGTCATCCCGTGTGGAGATACTCTATTCCGGCTAGTGGAGCGGTAGCCCTAAAATAGCGCAATGATCGGTGTTTTGGCCTCGCGGCTCAGACCCCAACATCAAACATTGCAATGTTTGGACGCATGGACAAGTCACAACCCACATGTTTGACTTCCGTTTTGACAAATGCTGGTGCCAGCCTTTCAAGGCTATTACATTGCAGAATGATGAGTATGATAAACTTAGTGCTCTCCGCACGAAATTTCTCTCTGGACTTTCCAACCGCACATTCACCCTTTAAGTGCTGGCGCTTCACGCACTCCGGCGCTCTCGCTGACTCTAGTTTTCCTTCAAGACTACCAAAGGTGATTTGCAGGACAAGAGCACAATGGTACCGCAGAGCGGCATGCCTTCACCAGTGGTAAGTAATACATTCCACTCAAGGCATTGTCCAAGATTATAGTAATCATTGACTAACTTGGAAGAAGGCAGCACGAGGTCCTCCATACGTCCCTACAGTATGGGCATTGGGTGGGTCTCCAGTAAGAAGCGTCGACCTTCCAGTGCAATCGATCTTCTTGGTCTTCTTCGTGATGGGAGCAGCTGTACATATGAGAATCTTCCGACAGAACAAATCCAGAGGTCACAAGTTTCTGCCAAACATATTTATGTTCGGTAAGTATCTAGGTGCTGTAAGAATGGAATACCAGATACTGACATCTTAGCTAGGCTTCTGTATGGAGCGCATCTTGACATCGATAGTACGGCTAGCATCAGTGTCACATCCGACGAGCATCTCGCTCGCGATAGCTGCGCAAATGTTCGTCTCGGCTGGTGTAGTCATCCTGTTCGTCATTAACATCGTCTTCGCAATGCGCCTTGTCCGTTCCATACATCCTTCTTTCGGCTGGCATCCTGCTTTTGGCATTGCGTTCAAGGTCCTTTGCGTACTGCTTGTATTCACGATTATCACAGTCATTAGTGCCTCGGTCCAAAGTTTCTTTACTCTCAACAAAAACATTCAGGCTACTACTCGAGGCCTCCAACGATTCGGTGCAATATTTCTCGCCATTCTCGCCACGCTACCGTTACCTATGGTTTTCGCTACAATTACCGCCCCCTATTCGTCGATTGACAAGTTTGGCGTCGGCCGACTGCGCACAAGAGTTTTCACTCTGCTCATCAGCACAACACTTCTAGCCCTCGGTGCATGGTATCGCTGCGGTGTTATTTTGCAAGCCCCCACGCCGCGGTCGGAACCTCTACCCGGGTATCTTGGAAAAGGAGCATTCTACTTCTTCAACTTCTTCGTGGAAATCCAAACGATCCTCATGTATGCTATTTTTCGCGTGGATCTTCGGTGGTATATACCCGACGGCGCCCATGGCGAAGGGAGCTATTCTCAGCCGCAGGTTCATCGAGACGTGGAGAAGCAAGAGTCTCGGTCAGCATCCTCGGATAAAACACGATATGAAACCCAATCTCTCAGGACAATAAAAGAAGACGATGAAGAGGACAGAGAGGTGACTACCGAGAAACCCACCTGGCCACTTGGACCACCCAGAATCATAGAAATCGATCTCGGAAACGCATCAAGCGGCTCTCTCACACCGCCACCACCAATAGTCCCAGACACAAGGCGAAGTTCAGGTCGCAGTTCATACGCCCGCCCAAAAACAGCAGATAGATCCGTGCGCAGCTCCATCCTCTCGGAGCGTTTCTCCGTCCTCATGGCCAAATCCACAAATACCCTCTCGGTCTTCGCAACCGCCGAGCAAAAAAAGCGATGGCGCGAAAGCGAAGAAGCAAGAATCGTTCGACGCCTAGGCGGTCCCTGGCAACAACTCTCCAGTCCCACCGACACATCGTTTAGCTACTCAACCCGCAGTCCAACGCGAAGCGGGTTTCGCCCTAGCACAGCTGGAAGCCATGCTTTTGAGCCTCCGAGTCCAGTCCATTTCCGAAGCGCTTCCGATGCGCCTACCCTGCCAGATGTGGTCTCTGCGGGCGGCTGGACACCGAGAATCGACTGGGAATTCAAGAGTCCGCAGCGCTTCTTGAGTTTGAAGAGGAAAACTTTGCTCGGGTTGAATATTACTACATGAGCCCCGCCTGGCCTTCTCCCGGCCGATTCGATTCACCGTTTCGCAAGCCGAATAAGTCGACTACATATGGACTTCCGGTGGCGTCTCTTTTCCCTTTCTCTCTCTCTCTCTCTCTCTTTATGATTTCGGACGAGGTATCCGTTACACTAATTCTACTGCTGGCCAGCAACATCCATTCGCTTACTCTTTTTTTTCTTTTTCTGTTTTAATCGACATACCCAGGTTCACCGGCTTTTCCTCTTACAAAAGCAAACGCGCTGTAGCATGTTTTTTCTTTTTCCTTTTGGATCTTGCACACGGGTGTGTAATATAGTATGTAGTGAAATATATCAATTGGATGTGCAATTTCTCGAGGTGTTTTTTTACGTCCATGTTTGCAATGGGAAAGTTGTGAGTGCTTGTACTGTGCTGTTGGGTTTAGCATCCCATGTGCTGGGAGGTGCTAAGGACTCGTATCATTGTGTCAAGATGGGAAAAAGGAAAAAATAAAACAGGGCTTAGATTCAGGGTCTGTAAGGCGAAGCGAGAAAGGAAGGTTGGACAGTGTCAAGTGCCAAAAGTTTCGAGGTTTTAGTGACGTGGGACCGTGTTTCGAATACCAGAAAAAAATGGTAAATTGTGATAAGGTTGTCGCGAAGGGCCAATATCAGACATGCGAATTGTATCAAGAAACGCATCTGATTTCACATCTTGCGAATCTAACAACGAAAAATGAAAAACGATAGAAAAGAAAAGCGATAACGTCTCAAACGTCTATATCCAGCGTTTCAAACATCTATTCAACCTCTCCTTTCCAAGAAAAAACAACAACATCCCACATCTCTCATCTTCTCATACCTATCTACAAAGGAATCCTCCTCATCTCATCCAAACTCCAATACTTCCTCATATTCTCCGCACCCAACTGCTCAACCTCATCATCAAGATGCTGCCACAGGACCTCACCAAACGAATCGAGAATCTCCTTCATCTCCTGCATCCGTAGCTCTCGCTCTCCAGACTCGCATTCTTGGAGGTACTTCTCCGCGCAGTCGATGCCGACGTGGATCTGCTTGTGCTGGGAGATGAGTTCGAGTTCTTTTTTGAAGGCGGGCATGCGCTTGGCGAGGATGGGGAAGACGTGTTGTTCTTCTATTGTGTGGTGGAAGGTTAGGCCTTCTTTTGTGAGGGAGATGTGAGTGTTAGTAGTTTTTTTTTTTAAAAAAAATCGGTTGGATTGGGGGGTGTTGGGGTGAGGTTGATATCGACTTCTTGATATTGGAGTGGAACAAAAGGGAAGATGATGAGAAAAAGTAGTCTTACGGCAAAATTGCTTGCATGTACTGATGAACTGGCGGATAGACATGTTTTCGGGCCTTTTCCCTACTTCACATGCTGAATAGACGACTTTCCACATTGCGCGGAAGTGTTCATGGTAGCGGTTCATTTCCACGGCCATTCTGTTGTATTGCCGGAATTCAGAAGGCGTGAGTTTGGGTAGGGGCTTTTCTTCTTTAGAAGAGGGCTCGACGGCGGCGTCGTTGTCTACTGGAGGTGCGGGCGCAGTTGGGCCATTGTCGCCTGGAACGGTAGACATGGCTTCTGGAGGAGGCACAGGGTATTGGAGAGTAGCCTTGGTTGCAAAACACTGCCTTGGAACTCTAGTGTAGTACGTCCGTGTAGGTCTAGTGAGTAGTCCCAAAAATCGGACTTTCTTCATAAGCTAGGTAAAGAGTTACGCCGAAGGAAAGTACGAAATCGCAGTTTTGGTTATCTGGGTGGCGCACATGAATGTTAACGCGGGGGTGTAATACTAGCCAGTCGCAGCTTATCAATTTTGCATTACAACATTACAGAATATTACCAAGCCGCTAGTCGCGGCTGTCGGATACCGATAGACGCGCTCTTGATACGATCACGTGAGAGAGACCTCATCACCCAGCACAACAAAAAGAGTCGTCTATTTGTTTCTCGTCTTGGCAAATTTTTCATGCCACTTACGCGCCGATGGCTTTACAGCTGTCGTTCCGTTGTCCACCACCAGGGCCGATGCAGCCTTGCCCTTTGCCTTGATGGTTGTATCTGAAGGAAATTCATAAAAGCCTTCAATGGCTGTAAGCTTAGCATCTTTGCGCCATACTTCTGGTAGGCGATCCTCCCACGTGTCAGTGAAATCAGCAATCAAAAAGTCAGCACCATGCCTGGCATCTAGCAGGGTTTTCCCGGTGAAGGCGACTGTCTTTGCTCGGTCGAGACAGGACCACGGTCCGCTCCTGTCAGTGTCATCCGTTGCCAAGTACGCAAGCACGGCTTGTGTGAGAGGAGCGGGGTGCCCTTCTTCAGCTACGGCCGTTGCAATGTCGCTGGTCATGAACTGTTTGTCGAGGGGGATCCCCTCTGCCAACGCAGCAGCAATGATGGATCTCCATACATGGGAGAGAGCGCTCGGGGATGGCTGATACGAGCCCTCATTTGTGTCAAAGGCCATGAGCTGCCTCCACCCTGCCTGGCACTCTCCATCGGACAAGGGCATGTCGTTGAATATACCAGCCTTGGTCATGCCGTTAGGAGTGGCATCAACGTCGCCAGCAACAATGTCGTACACAGGGAGCACCTCTCTCAACAAGGCAATGGCAGAGGCAGAAGAGGCATAGAGCTCGAGTGTGGAGCTGCACAGAGCAATTGCGCGTGTGACAGGGATTGGGATCTCGTTGCCATGGGCTTCGAGGGCTGGCTGGGTCACGAAGAGCGAGTTGGACGTCTGGACCTGGCGCACCTGGAACGACTTGCCCGGGGTGCAGAGTACGGCATATGCGGGCTTTGCGTTATGCGTGCTAGTAGCAGCGGAAAAAGCTTGCGATTTGATGGACAGTCTGGCACGCGTGGTGAGAAAGGGGAGTCGGCATCCAATGCGACAAGGCGGCAGACATACAGCGGAGGATTTGGCTTGTCCAGCAGCTCAACGATTTCCGGGGGCAGCTCGAGCAGGCGGAAATGCTGTTGTTGGTGTGCTATGGAGACGGGCAGCCCGCCCTGGTGCTGTGTGGCCATTGCTGGAGCAGGGCACTCTACCAGCCCAGATGCGCGATGAAACGTGCCGTGGGTGATTTGAGCATATGAAGCCAGCCGCCACCGTAAGCTGCTATGACGACGCTGTTTTGATATCCGTCGGCACTGCGGGGTGGGTTGATGCGCAACTAGCTCGCAGGCGGGTCGGAGGGATGGATGGAGCAAAAGTAGGCTGCAGGGCCATGTATTCGCACCAAAAATACCTGGCACTGCGGTGATGAGGACCGGGACCCCCCATGCGTCTCCTTGTCGCCCTGATTGCACGTTGGCAATTCGCCGTCTATTCTCCCGTCCGCGCTTGGTCGCTGCTGCACGACCGCCTTGATTCGGGCTTCAACAGATCGCTGCCAGCTTGTTGTTGTGTTGTTGTTGTCTGGACTCGACTCGACTCGACACGCGCCTGCTGCCCTTGTCCTGTATGGCTACCCGACTACTACGACGACAGCACCTCCACCTCCACCTCGACCACCGCTGCCACGACCACGACCATCACCGCCGCCTCGCCTGCCACCACCACCATTGTCCGTCCCCACGCGGCTGCGCCATGCAAGCGATGCACTAACCTAATTGCTGCCCTGGTCACTTGCTTCGCTGTACCTATCCGGCCTCGTCACTCGTTTCCACGCCCTCGACACCATGGGCGTCGTAATTAACCCCGAGCCCGCGGCCCTCTCTGCAGACGACCTGTCGCTTTTCTACACCACCGACGAGCTGCTCTCCAATTCCCCCGTCCTGATCTTCTACGGCCCGACCGCAACTTCCACCCAGGCCACGCACTCGCGCATCCAAGCCCATGTCTTTACGCCCGCCGGCCTGCAGAACTTCGCCCGCCTGATCATATCCCCAACAGCCACCTTCTACAATGCCGTAACATGCCTGCCTCGCGAGGAACAGGGCGACGAGATATGCCGCGGTCTCGCCTTCAGTCTCTACAAATACTTCCTCGAGCTGCCCACTGAAATCAAGAGCGCATGGAGCAGGCGCTATGGCTCGTCGGAGAGCCTACACTCTGCACCCAGGCTGTTCTCGGAGTCGCATGCTGCCATCATCGCCGCTAAGATGGTCAAGGTCGAGAATGTCATGGATGTCATAGTAGACGTGCGGCACGCCTTGGGTGAGCAAACGCTCTCGTGGATAGACCTCGATGTTGTCCTGCCGCAGGGAAGCATCCGCAAGCTCAATCCAAGAGAGTCAGCCCAATTTGACGACACCGAAGAAGACCCGACCCAGCAAAAGTATGAGGAATTCTCACCTCTCATTAAGCTATTTGGAGAATCGGCATTCCTGCCCACTGCCAAGCTCCGTCGTGCGCCCTCAAAACCGACGGCCCTCAATCGATCCCAGAATTTCTCGAGAAAGCAAAAAGAAACGCTCCGGCGCGAGATGTGCGAATTGCTAGATACGGAAGAAAACTATGTGAGCAAGCTGGACGAATTGATTCATACAGTAGCTGTTGAGTTTCGTGAAAAGGCAAAATCAAAGTCAAGTTCCAGTGGTAGCCCAACAGAGCAAGCACTCCAGGGTCTGTTTCCTCCCAGTCTGGACAAGATACTGGAAGTCAATTCGCAATTCCTGGAAGCCTTGCGCGTTGTGTTGGAAGAGTCGGAGAATGGAGCAATTGAAGACATCGAAACTGCCGCAGACGACGTCTATATCGCTCCTTTGCGAGGACAAAAAGATGCACCCGACGTCACGGGAGCGGCTGCAGTCGCAAGGACCCTTCTCGAGTGGCTGCCGCAGTTCTCTGATTGCTACACTGATTACATGGCGGCACATGGCGACTTCTCGCAACTGTTAAAGCACTTTACCAAGGACTCAGCCTCCAGCTTCTCCAAACGAGTTTACGAGACAGGTGAACAACGTCTCACGTCCATGTTAATCGAACCCGTACAACGCCTCCCCCGATACAACCTCTATATTGATAATATTCTGAAACAGTTGCCAGTTCGGCATCCGGCAATCAAACTATTCCTCAAGGCGAGAGATATGATATCAGACATTTGCACGAGAGAGGGCCCAACCGCACAGAAATTCAGAATATCTGGCCGTCTGCGCAAGATGGTCTCGTCATGGCCGTCTGGATGTAACCCACAAGGACGACTTATCACAGCAGTTGATTGTGTAGAGCTATCTCCACCATATCACGGCGAACTGTCTGGGCCAGCCACAGTATCCGGAATCATGGTGCTCTTTACTGACTTTCTAATACTTCTTCAAAAGTCTGAGTATGGCTCAATGACCGCCCGTGGTTTGCTCGCTGAACTCGACAATCCAAAATTTGCTGAGTCATTTGACGGCAACACCGAGCTCACATTTCATCAGCATCTGAGTCTGGGCGACGTTTTCATCAGCGAGCATTCAGAGGGAAACATCCTCCAAGTCTTATCCCCGGTGCCATCAGCTAACCCTTCTTCACGGTCACGGCATCGAGAACAACAACAGAGACTTGGAATCCGCATGTTCTATCTTCAAGGCTCGTATGAGGGTAAAGGACAAAAGTTCACGGAGGAATTCACTAAAGCTCGGGTTGAGGGCAGGTTTTCCGAAGCGGAGCGAGAAGGCGATAAATGGGAAGTCCGGGCCTTGCCAGGCGACTTGAGTCTATTCTCGTCTGTCACGGAGGAAACAGGTGGCAAGCAGATTGAGGGCCGGAAAGAGCCTGCTAAAATACAGATTCTTGTTGAGGGGTCCAAGTTCTCCCAGCCTATTCAAGTCGGCGACGATGGTGTCGAGCTTACCATCACAATATCGAGCCTTGGGGAGGGACTGTATCTCCTGGAAACTAACGGGACCAACGGGTATACGGCACGAGACAAACTGACGAGCCTAGAGTTTCTGCCTGTTCTGACGAAGCGCATGACCAACTACTTCCAACTGCGTAACAGTGTGAAGAATTTCGCACTGACTGAGGCCTATCTACGTCGAAACCACCAGATACTCAAGTCACTTGCTCTTGAAATGTACGAAATGGAACAAGAACGAGGCAGCAAAAGCCGTCCACATTCTCCAGTCAAGATGTTATCGAGCTTCTTTGGTGGAAGTGTGAGCAATCTCAGTGGCACCATCGGCAGGGAGGGTGGCGGTTCACGCAAACTACAGCGTAATGCTCATACCATGGGCGATATACCACGGATACCACCGCCTCTACAGTCCGTGCCTGCTCGCGCCCAAAGCCGCGACGGTGAATCGTCACGCCCCAACTCATCGAGCACCAACAAGAGCGCCTCGTTCAACGGCATGCTAACTGATCCTATCACAAAGCTGGAAGAGACTCTTGCGAATCTTACCCTGGCTCTGCTCGCACGCAAAGGCAACATTGTCGGACGTTCTGTTCGTGCAAGGACTGTTGCTGATGAACTCGTTGTCAATGAACTCTACAACACTCTACTTGAGAATCCCGGAAACCTCGATTTGGCCAGTCAATCATCAGTCGACGTTCTGTTTGCAGTGTTTGAAAAGTTCCTGAGCATTGGTTGGAGAGAGCGCATGGGCCCTGTGCTATCTCATGCTACACTAGTCTCGTTGCAAATGCGATCAGACACGATGCCGCCCGACGAATTCGAGGAGTTTTTCAGAAACATGCTTGAACAGTTTGCACCTCCAAATCAGCGAGCATTCCGGGCGGTTATCAATCTGTTGGCCGAACTGTTGGACGGTACTAGCAACGATGGTGACCGTGGCATTCTCACTGCAGCGTTTGCTGAGATGCTAGTCCCCGCTGGCAATTCGCACGACTTCATATCGTTGATGGATCGTCTAGTGGAAGATATCGATGTACTCTTCCCAATTCAGACGCCCGGTCTTAGCACGCCGATCTATGGATCTATGGATTCGAAGGGGCGCTATGCGGCCGCTGGCTCGATAAATCCGAACACGTCTCTCAGGAGACGATTTGGCTTTGGCACTCTAAGCCGAGAGAACAGCAAATCTGAGAACGATTCAAAAGTAGGAGCAATCTGGCGTTCGCTGAGTAAAAACAGTCATGGAGGGTCAGAGGCGCAGTCACCAAGCATATCGAGAAACGGAGTCGGGCCCCTTGCTCGCTCCAACTCGACAGACGCTGCGGCACGTCTGTCACCCAAGCGTCCATCGTCTCGCGATCGTCCGACAGTGCTGGGCGCGTTCAACTTTGAGCCGCCGAGTACCAGCAACCGGCCTTATAGTGGGGTTCTTGGAACTATTGGAGAGGTACCACCCGCTGCTGGGCCTCCCCGCAAGAAGCGGCGCTCTTCTCTGAGTGACCTCAAGACATTACAGGATGCTGACGATGTGCCTGAGTGGTCCCCGCAGACTCCTCGCAAAACCGATTCGGTGCTTCGTCATGAAAATCGGCAGATTAGCGATTCGCCTCGCCCGGAACCGCGTCCAGAACCGCGTCCGGAAACGCCATCAAGTGCGGCATTGCTCAACAAGCATACATCAGCGATACCCACACCTGCACGACTTGGATCTCCGATGCGGTTAGAGAAGAAGGAGAACGCAGCGACGAGCGGGTCGGAACGTCCCGGGCACTCTCGGTCAAAGTCGATTACGCCGAAGCTGGAGATCAAGGATGAGGTTACCATTAAATCGCTCAACCCTACGAAGAAGCGAAGCGAGACGATTTCGGGTATTCCAAGTCTCCGGCCGACGGGATCTGGACTGCACGAGCGGACGGGATCTGGAAATACGGTCAAGCTTCCGCCTTCAACGCCACGGTCGCCAACCAAGATGGGGCTTGGTTCTACGGGTACTCCAAAGAGGCTCAAGATGCAGTCGCCACAGAAGCTGCGAGAGCGACTGCAGCAGCAAGAACAAGACATTGATGATGCATCGAATGCGCTGCAGAATGAGCTGAGTGCCATTGGACAGGAACTGAGTTCCAAGGGTACACCACGTCTGACGACTCAAAGCTCTGCGCCGTCATTGTCACTTACAAACGGAGCACGATCAGCAGAGGCACGGATTGCAGTTTTGGAGAAGCAGCTCAAGGCAACATTGGA